TAAACAACCACAGAAAAATGATGAAAACCCGGAGGAAAAAGCCACAATGCCATTCTCCTTCCTTCTTTTTATTATCTGTGTGTCAATGCCTAATTTTGAAAGCAGTCTCATTTTAGTCACTATTTTCTCACTGCGGGCAAGCAGAATTGATAGAAATATTGATCTTCTAATGAGTTTTAAAAGGAAAAAATGAGCATGACTCAGAGTATAGACTGATTGATGTGTCTTATTTTGTAACTGCTCCTGATGTATCTCTTTGGAATTTGCTCGATCACTTTCCTTGCATAGACGATATTTTCTCGTTGTATTTTGTTGCTCGCAGCAAAGATATTTTGCCTTTTGCATTTTTCTGGCTGTGGTCACAGCCTGCATCTCCATTTAAGTTTTCCCAAGGTTGGCTTTTCAACAGCCCCAGGGCATGGGGTGCTCGGAGGGGAGATAACCTGAACTGGGTCTGCGGGGTCCTTGGCTGGTGCTTGGCAGCAGGGAGGAGAAGGCTGGGTGAGCCCCTCCTCTGCGCTGAGCCCCGGAACAGGGCAGATGTCAGCAAGGGATTCTCAGGCCGCTTTCTGCAGCCTGTGCTGTTGCCGCCTGTTTCCCACTGGTGCTCCCTAGTCCTCCAGCACCATCTACAGTCCTTCGTAGACTGAGGAGATGCTCCAGTGCCATCAGGTACAGCCCAGCCACGACCAGGAAAGGGTCAGCTGCTGAGCCAAGGTTGCGATCTGGGGGATATTTGCAGCCTTGTCCATCGCCTCTCAGCCTCTGGCCTAATCACTGAATGAGACAGGGGGCCTGGAGGAAAAAAAATCCAAACCAAACATAAAGAAAAAAAAGAAAAAACCACCCCCATTTTCACACCGGCTGAGCAATTGCAAGGTGCCAGCCTGTAAAAGGAGCCCGGCCTCAGGGAGCTGTAACCGGCTCCTCAGCACAGCTCTTGAGCGGCCGGGCAGCATGCAGCTCCCGTGGTCCTGCCGTGTCTGCCTGGCCACATCTGCTGCTCAGCACAGCTTGGATTCGTGGCACAACGTGCACAGCGCTGCTCATCGACAGCACGAAACCTCAACCTGAACCTGCAAGACAGGGCTATCATGAAATATGCATGGGGGTTTCCTTGATAAATAGCATTAAAAATTCATTGATATTTTGAGCAACAAGGCATCAGCTGTATCTTTCAGGGATGGAGAAGTATGTAAATACATGTAAATAAGAAAAGTCTTTCTTTCACGAGACAGCTATTTAAGTCTGCTTCAGCTGCCTTTTGTTTTTGAGACACGCTGAAATCAGTGCTCAGTCTCATCTCTCCCGGAGGGAAAGTTAGGCTCCGAACTCGCTCGATTGGAGAGGACCATGTCAGTGTTTCTGGACGGGGTCTAGTCAGCCGGAGAAACAGTCAGCACAGCCAGCGAACTGCCCGTGCAGACAAGGCTGTGTGGTGTTCTGGTAACCCGGGGCGCTTCGCAGGGGCTCTGGCTGTTGCTGCCGTACCAGGAATCCCTGGTGGTGGAGACGATCTCTGGGTGTGCAGCTCACTGCCTGTGCCTGACTTCCGTAACAACTTTTGAGCTTGTATTTGGGTGCTGGGAATTTGACAGCTTTTACAAACTTGGCCATGGGGTCTGGAGTTTTCTGTTTAGTAGTGAGCAGCAGGCGTTGTGCGCAGGACGGTCTCTAGGGCCAGGCAGGCAAGAGGCAGGTGTATGTGCAAGACGAGCTGTGCCCGCAGCTCGGCGTCTGCCTCCAGCTGAACGGGTTAACAGGAGGGAGCCTGGTGATTGCTCTCTGCTAGGGCATGAACACGCTAGGGCATCTACATCCGCCTCTGCCGCGGGCTGTGGCTATGCCATCTGTACCTAGGGCCTCCCAGAGCTTCGGCGTGGTTTACCCCTCACTTTCCTGGGCAATCCAACCAAGGTGATCCTGGTGCCATCCCTGCCCAGCTCCCTGGCCGGTGCAGCGCGCCAGCTGGGGACTGGCAGCACGTGTTGACCTCGGGTGTGACAACTGCGGTGGAGCATCTCCTAGGTCAGAGGAAAAGTAGCAGACGCGGCAGCACAAGCAATTTCTGTTCTGCTTCTGCCGTGAGACCTCTGCCTTCGTAAGAACAGCATCTCATGCCCCAACACGGGACAGCCGGTGCCGAAGCCGTGGGTTAGAAAGTCTTCTCTTCCCGCAGGGTGCCAGCCAGCTATCTTTCAGCAACAAGAAATTACGTGGAAAATCAGGAGCTGAACTGAGAGCTGCTGTTCGATCCTTATTGCTCTTTGTGTGCTACAGCCAAAAGACCACAGGGAAAATCCAGCATCCAGGGAGGTAGGGCTGTTTCCCTGGAGGTCTCCAGGCACACAGGGTGGGGAGAGCCTCGCTGAGCGACAGGGGCCCACCAACTCTCGCCAGCACAACCCTGATGCAACACGCGGGCAGGAAAGTCATCCTTCGCGCATCACAGCTGGCAGGCGCTTGGCTTGAGACACGAGGGTGATAGAGCAGCTGCAGGCTGTCTTTTCCGATCTTTTCCCAGCTTAGGATGCTTTCTTCACCAAGGTCTGGTCTCCCTGAATGCAGCGACTAACAGAGCGCGGTCGGTCAGCAGCCTTCCTGCCACCCGCGCAGAGGTCTGCCTGCGCCTCGGAGCCCACCGCCGGCGAGCCCCTGACGGCACCGACAGCCCCGGGACTGCTGCTGCTCTGCAGCTGCTGCTCTGCAGCAGCGCTTGGCTAAGCAGAGTAATGGGAGGGGGAAGGTGGGGGGCAGCAGGTGGAAGACGGGTTTGAGAGCTGAGGCAACTCAGCAGCTGCTGACCTTGCTTGGCGCCGCACTGGGGAGGGACGGGAGCGTTCCCCCTGGGGCTCCCCATCCTGAGCAGCATGCTCCTGGGAGCAGGGGGATGCAAGGGGCAGGAGGGGGGCTGCTGAGCAATCACCCCCACCCGCTGCGAGGGCCCTGTCGATGGGAGAGGGGGTGCCCCGAAACAAGGAGTCCATTCAGCGTGGCTGCGGGTGCGCATGCACGGCATCGTGCCGGGAGCGTGGGGAGGGAAACCGGAGCTGGTTTGCAGGAGAGGCTCCGTGTGCCGGGCTCCCAAACTAGCAGCTGCCCTGCTCCTTGCTGTCATGGTGAGAAGTGCCTCCTCACCTTGCCTGCCCGCTGCAGCAGGCAGCGGTGTCACTGCCCGAAGCGTGTCCCCTTGCAGGAGACCTGGCCTTCGTTCCTGATCCGCTCCCCGGGACTCCTTAGGGCCCAGCCTTAGCTCGGCAGTTTCCCGACAACCCGCGTCGCGTTGAGGACGCCATGCAGAGTCGCAAGAGCCCCACTGCAGAGCCAAGGAGGACACAGGCTTCCCCCGGACACAGTGAGTGAGCTGTTTGTCGGCTTTGGGTACCGGGGGGGCCCCTCTGAGTCTTGACCTCCTGCAGAGTGCATGGTGCTAGCTCTCCTCCTCCTGGCATTGAGGAGAAAGGATCAGGTGGGTCCTAGAAGCAGTTGTACAACGACCCAGAGGCTTGATAGTGCTGTGAGAGATGGACAAGACCATATTGATGCTCTTCCCCTCGCTGTTTCTTAAAGATTCCGCTAATGCGTCTCTCAACACTCTCTGCACCGCCAGGAGGCTGGTCCTGCTGCTCGGGGTCGCTGGGCTGCTGGCAGGGACAGCGGCTGGGGCATGGCTCCTAGGTCAGTGTCTGCTCCGGGACAGCCGTGCTGCTGCGGGCAGAGCCCGGCCGCCAAACTGGCGAGCGAGTTCGGGGCACCAGCAGCAGAGGTGGTGGTGATGGGAGCTCCTTTGGTCCGTGAGCTGCGGCTTGGGG